CACTCTTTTTTTTTTTTTTTTTTTTTTTGAGACGGAGTCTCACTCTGTTCCCCAGCCTGGAGTGTAGTGGTGCGATCACGGCTCACTGCAAGCTCTTCCTCCCGGGTTCACGCCATTCTCCTGCCTCAGCCTCCCGAGTAGCTGGGACTACAGGCGCCCACCACCACGCCCGGCTAATTTTTTGTATTTTTAATAGAGACGAGGTTTCACCGTGGTTGCCAGGATGGTCTCGATCTCCTGACCTCGTGATCCGCCTGCCTCAGCCTGACCTCGTGATCCGCCTGCCTCAGCCTCCCAAAGTGCTGGGATTACAGGCGCGAGCCACCGCGCCCGGCCCTTTTGCACTCTTTTAACCTGGGTCTAGAGCTCATGGATCTGGCAAGGGATGAAAATACAAGCAGACAGCATTAATATGTGAGCCCCTGAGCTCTCTCCCTTCCTCACGCCAGTTTGTGAGTCTCATCATCAGTGCGAGACCATGCTTCAGGTCTCTTGCCCAAGGACTAAGAGTGTGACTGTGAGTGTGCACATTCCATGTGTAGGTGGTGCCCTCTGATTCCAGATGCCGTGTGCACTATGGTTTCTATTTGAGGGGCTCTCACCTTCTTTTTCTGGCCTCACTCTCTCTCCCCATGTCTCTGTCCTGCTTTCTGCTATGGCTCACAGTGGTGCGGGACAGACTCTGCCCCTTCTTTCTACAAGCTGATCTCCAAATGCTGAAAATCGTGAGCCAGATATTGTTTCCCAGTCCCTTTTTATACCATCAGTCTTGCCTTCTGAGTCCATGATCCGACTATGTATCTGAAACTAGCAGTTAATAAGGATTTTGGTATAAAATGCATGATTGATAAATATATTAAAGTTTGTACATATATATAAATCCTTCTTGTATGCCATTTTCAAAGAAAACAGGCCTCCCTTTGACCTTGTTTTATGTAGATGTACTTCCTAATCTGGAAATGTGGCCAGCTAGAACACTGTTCCTTTCTTCCACCGTGAAGCTGTCCTTTTAGCTGGTAGAAAGGCCTAGACACCACGGCAAGGTGGTGGGGCTTTCCGTGGCTAGCTCTCCTGGCCATCCCACTTCCAAAGACAAGCTAGGAGAGTGTTGGCGCAGCTGTCTCTAAGAGCCCAAGCAGGCCCAGCCGTGTGGCCACATGCCCCGCAGAGTGGAAGAACAGTTAGGAGGGCTTTCAGAATTTGAAGAACTCTGGAAGGAGTCAGGATTATCAATATGAACAACTTCATCCGGTCAGGAAAGTTATGCTGGAATTGAAGCTGATTCTCAGATAAACGGCTCGCTCTGGGGTATCTTTTCCCACCATGGTCATTCTTTGTTAGCAGGGGAGAGTTGGCACTGGATTTTGTTTTTTGTTTGTTTTTGAGACAGGGACTCACTGTGTCACCCAGACTGGAGTGCAGTGGTGCAATCTTGGATCACTGCAGCCTCAACCTCCTAGGCTCAAGGAATCCTCCCACCTCAGCCTCCCAAGAAGCTGGGACTACAGACGTGTACTGCCATACCTGGTTAGTTCTTGTATGTTTTGCAGAGATGGGATTTCACCATGTTGCCCAGGCTGGTCTTGAATTCCCGGGCTCAAGCGATCCCCCTACCTCAGCCTCCCAAAGTGCTGGAATTACAGGCGTGAGGCACTGCGTTTGGCCTTGGCACTGGCTTTTAATTTACTTTGCATTCTGATTCAATAGCAACCTACCAGACTGAATGCAGACATGCACTCTCCCCACAGAAAGCGGCCCGGGCCAAGGATGGATCCCATTCACCCGGCGCCATGTTTGCCTCAGGCAAAGTGGTCCCCAGGGCCAGGAGACCAAGGCTGGCCTATGATGTGTCAGGTGCTCAAGGAATCCCAGAAGTGTACAAGACGGTGTGTAGTTTTCTCTTTTTTTCATGTCATAGATTGCCGGCTTGAGTTTTAATTAGGTTGCATGAAAGTACAATTTGTTGGGAGCTTTAATCATCTTCCACTGGGGAGCCTTGCTGGGCTGGCTTATTTTCATCCTACTCCTCCCTGGGTGTGAAAACGGGGTTGAGGGACATTTTGGTACCTGTCTGCTCTCTCCTGCTTTGCTGGCCTTGATAACCACATTTTCTAACACAAAACTTGGGCCACGAGAGCCTGACTTCTGACTTCTGCCAATGTTGTGGATGGAGCTTTTTCCTATTGGTTAATTTGATTAAACTGAAGGGTTGATGAAGATATAGAAGTTAAACAACATTGGACACTTAATACATTTAATGAGCTTCCTTTAATGAGCCAGGGGTCCCTTCAGACAGCCTTGGGAGCCTGATTGCTGGGAGGGGAGGTCCTGGTCCAGGAACTTTGAGGTCGTCGTGATCATGATGATGCTGGTGGCAGCTGTGTTCCCTCTGTGCGCACAGATGAATTCATCCAACATCGTAATAAACCCAGGAGGGAGGTCCTCTCATAACTTCAGCTCAGAGGCGAGGACACTGAGGCCCAGGGCAGTGAGGCCTCTTTGCCAGGCTGCCAAGTGACTGGGCCAGGGTGTCACCCAAGCCAGGCTGGCTTGAGGGTTCATCCTCATGACCCCTGCACTGCCACTGTTGTGCTGCAGTTAGTGTTTTTCAGGTGGCCTCTGGGTTTTGGGAAGCGACAGACTGCATACTTGGCTCTTGACCCCCATGACCTCAGTGGCGTTCTGCCTCAGCCCCAGGTCGTCGGTTTGAAATGGGGCGGAAGTCACAGGCTTTGGCCTCCAGGGGCCATGGCGGAGTGTTCAGAGGGATTTCCACCCAACACGCCTAGTGGGGCTCCGGGTCCCAGCCCCAGAGGCTGAGGCCTACTATCCTTCCCTGAGCTGAGGCCCCTACCCCTTTTGTACCTCAAGCTCATCCTGGGCAGTGGCTGGGCCCTGGGCCATTCTGGACAAGGCAGGGTGGTCCTACCCTGAGACCTACCTGGTACAAAGACCTGTGATGGCAGTGGGAAAAAAGCTTTTACCAAATAGCCATCCAGCCGAGTTAACTCTTCCTAAGCCCCCACCCCTCAACCAGCTTATTATATGCAAGTTTTAAGCTATCCTTACCTCGAGCCTTCTCTTGCCTTTTGTCAATTGCTATAATTTTCTGGTAAAGCTATATCAACAAACTGGCAACCATTCCTGCCTCCCACTGTCTATCCCTCCTTCCCCTGGGAAACCCTCCCACATTCCCTGTTTTCAGGATCTTGGTCCTGTGCAGGACTTCAGACAGCACCCACAGAACCCTGCAGTGGCACAGGCCTCGGTGCCTACCCTACACCTTTCCTGAGCACTTCTCAGATTCCAGACAAAGGGTCCTTGGGACCTAGCATAGCCTGCAGGCAAGAACACCTGGCCAGAGCTTCCTCTTGGGGCAGGGATGCTACCAGTAGTGCCTGGGTGAAGAGCTTGGTGTTTTAGATACCACTTTAATCCCCAGTTCATCCAGCGGAGGCTTGGCATAGTGGAGGGCAAGAGGGAGCTTCGTCCACACAGCAGATAGTAGCTGAGGTGTTTTCAGAAGTGGATTGAGTGGCGGTTGGTGGGAAACTGTCATTTTTACAGTCCGAGAATGTGGCTGTTTTTTACGGTGGTTAAGAATTCAGGCGTATCTGGAAAAGCAGGTGAAAAAGTAAATGCTAAACCAGTTGACTTGACAGTTCCAGTTGCAGTAGAATCCTCTTGTAGGGGGCGATTTACTATAGATCGGGACAGCCACCCTGAACATGAACTTCAGGATCAAAGCGACTTGGTGCATAGATGGATGCGTGTTGGGAGTCCACAGTGTTCCTAGCCTCACTCTGGCATCCAGAGTTGATGTCCTCTTAGGAAGGGAAGCAGAATTTTTTTTTTTTTTTAAATGTGTGGGCTTGAGATGGGATATTAAGTAGGTGAGTGAGGGTTTTACATCATTGCTCCAAGCTGATGAATAATTTAGAGCTGCAGGCTGGTTTGCCAGAACTCTCTTCTTGGATTCCAGCCTCTTCCTTCCTCAGAAGGATGCTGTGCTTGTAAACCACAGCCCTGGAGGTGGACTGTCGGGGGCCTTTTGTCTCACAGACGCTGGCTCGCTCAGCCAGTGGCCTTCCAGGGCATGGCTTCCCAGCGACAGCACATGGTGCTCACCACGGTCCTCACCAGCTCCTCCTCGGCCTTCCTTTAACCCTGTGTCCCCCTCTTATCTCCCGCTTTGGGCACAGGGGGACAGGTGAATGTGGAAGAATGGGGGAGGTTCAGGGGAAATAAGGGCAGGTGGGGAAAAACACACATTTCCCAAGAATCAACTGCACACTGTTGCACAGACACTCGCACAGCCTGCGGATTTCATGGCTCACTGGGGAATGCTGGGCAGGAACATGCCACAGGCACAGCAGGGCAACACGCTCACCAGCCGGAGCCCACGCTGGTGCCTGGGGCAGGGCCCTGCACTGAATCCCCTTTGGGTGTCTGCGAGGCCTGTGGTCAGAAGTCCATCTGTGGCCCTCACTGTAACAATCTAGGGGCTGCTCCACCCAGAAACGTCCATCCTCTGAGTGTCTGCTCTGAAGAGGATAAGAATTGGTACGATTTCCTTTTTCCTTTCCTCAAAAAAACCCCTATCTAGTTTCACAAGTATTCAGGGAGTGAAAATGAAAACAGGCGTTACCTGAGGTAAGGCCAACACAGGTTTCCGAAGGAGAGGCAGGTGAGTACCGACACGCCACCTCTTCCTGTAACACTGTGGGTGACTACATTCTAGGCTGAATGGCATTCTCCGCTTGTTCCCTGAGGGGCAGCATGAGGCCTGTGGCTTTTCTGTCCGCTCATGTCAGTACTGAGTAAGAGGGAGAAAGCTCCGCAATGCTCAACAGTCAGCCGAGGGTGCAGGGCCTGGGTCAGTACTTTCTGGGGTCCACAGAGGGAGATCTAGGATTCATATCAGATGAGAGGAAGAGCCTAGGAAAGTCCCCTGAGCTCTGCTACTTTGTCACTGGTGTGTTTGGTTTTGGTTCTCCCAGGAAGAATCTGCCAAAGGCGAGGGCCATGGACTTCATCACCTCCACAGCCATCCTGCCCCTGCTGTTTGGCTGCCTGGGCGTCTTCGGCCTCTTCCGGCTGCTGCAGTGGGTGCGCGGGAAGGCCTACCTGCGGCATGCTGTGGTGGTGATCACAGGCGCCACCTCAGGGCTGGGCAAAGGTGGGTGCTGGAGGCAGTGCTGCCAGGGGGTGGGGGGAAGTCAGCCAGCGATGGGGAGCGGCCCAGCTGCACAGGGACCACCAGCGCAAATGCCCAAAGCGGCAGCAGAAGTCCAGATGAGGGAAGTGGGCTGGATGGCACTGTCCTTGGTCCAAGTGGGAAAAGCAGGAGCCAAGGCACAGTGAGAAATGACTCAGCGTCAGCGTGGGAGGCAAGCGCGAGAGAAGCAGCCTGGCCCCGGGGGTGGGGTGGGGTGGGGTGGGGTGGGATGGGATGGGATGGGATGCCTGCCCCTCACAGGGCAGCCCTGCTCAGCCCCAGCTGCTTGCTGAGGTAGGAATTTTATGTGAAATCTCCTAATTTCCAAATACGGACAGCTAACTTAAAATGTGTTTTTACCTCTATGAGGACCAAATGAAACATGTCCTTTCCTAGATTCAGCCGGGACCTCCGGTTCACAGCTTTGGTGCACGCTTTCTCTGGGCCTTGCCTTCCCAGGCCAGGCCCCCAGCTGTCCCCTCAGCATGGTCTCGGCAAGGTCAAAGACAGGATAAATGGTGCCTCAGCTGTTCCAGGGTCTCCAGTCTAGGTCCATTCCAACCCAGTGAGCACCATGAGCTTCTAAGTCTCAGGAATGGTGTACCAGGACCCTGGCCTGGAGTGCCAAAACCTGGGTTCCCCCTTCTCCCATTTCTGGAAGCCTCTGAGTTGCAGGGCTCCATTGTTTTCTTGCCACACATGTATATTGACTTAGCATGTTGCACATGCACACACCATACCATCTACCATCCACGCTCACGCTGAGTTCCATGGAAGAAGGCTGAGGAGTTCCCTGAATTGTGGTGACCCACCCGCTGCTACGTCTTCTGGTTGGTGATAGCTCAGCTGGAGCTGATGGAGCGCCTGCTAAGTGGGAGGCTCTGGGTCAGGTTCTAGAACAAACAGATGAAAGACAGGGTCCCTTCCTTGAAGGAGGTCACAGTTGACTGCTGTAAGGAGAAAGGCAAGGACTTATCTGACTGTATTGCCATTGCAGTAACATATGCTCCCAAACCAGCCCAGTGGCGACAAGGCACGTGTATATGTGCTGGCTTGTGCTAAGCATTTTTACATGCATTATCTTACTGACTTCTCACAGCTAAGATTCAGAGAAAGAATGACTAGGACTTCCAGCCAGAAAGTACAAAACCAAGAGTCAAACCCACATCCCTGTCTCTAGAACTCAAGTCTCAAAGCTGCAGCAGGGGAGATGGCCGGGTAAAAGGAATAGGTGGGCTGGTAGACAGAACATTCCAGACAGGCCCAGAGGTGGGAGAAGCACGGTCCCGCAGGGACTTATAAACAGTTGGGTGTTGCATGAACACAGAGAAGCAGATGGGTCTTTGTGGTGGAAGTGGCTTGCAGTTGGCCAGGGGTGGCCTGGGAAGGCTTTAGGGAGTATGGATTCATTTATGCACCACCGTGGATGTTAGGTGAGGTCTCCAGGGGTAAATACCGTGTCTGTCATTGGATAGCCAGACCTTTGCAGGGACAGCTGTCTGCAGGCCCTTTGCCATCGTCAGTCCTCTGACCTTACTCAGTTGCTATATATAGGGTGGTCAGCAGCCACTTCTCTTGAGCTCAAAGAGAAGCATTTTGTGAAAGTCCTTGAAGAGCATTTGAGGGCTGGCAGAGGTGGAGCTCTGGGTCGCAGGTGCTCCCATCCGTGGATGTTTGAGAAACAAGCTGTCCTATTCCTTCTGCATCTCCTCTCCTGACACCAAGACTATGAAGGGAACAGAAAATGTCACGGAGGTCACCAGACCTGTCTGTGTATCATAAGATGTCAGGCCCTTCCTGGATTCGTCACTGCTTGTATTCTGCCCCATTTTACTTTTTGGGAACAGGAGTTCCTCCATCCAGATAAAGTAGAGCAGATTCTTAACCGGCCATGTCAAGTACAGCCACTGTTGATGCCACCAAGGACGTGCTGCTATTGCCTTGCTTCTGTGAGGAGGCAGAGCTATGTTGTCCTCAGTGGCTCTGCCTGCCGTGTCAGCCACTCGGAAGGTTTGGAGTTATGCAATGAGTCTTCGGTTTTTCGTATTTCTCCTATCTTGTCTCTTGTTTTGTGTATTTAAGCCTCTTGAGCTTGTCCTTGTAGAATAGTGTGGGACCACTGACTAAAGGAACAGAACATTCTGGATATCTGCTTCCTCCAGCTTTAGCCACAGGGCCGTGCACAGCTCTCTTGATTTCCAGCTAGGCGTGCCAGCGGCACTGGATAGTCAGTCATCTGCAGCCCTTCACGTATGTACCTTGGAGCTGTTTTCCTTGGACCCTCCAACCTTCCAGTATTAGCTTTTCAATAAATGAAAATGGAATCCTTCCAATCTGTTGTTTTCATTTCTGTCACTCCCTACACAAACTTTCATTTCCTCTCTTTTTAGCTTTGCTCGGAAGCAAAACTCAAACAGAATTGAGGCAGTCAATTCCCCAAAGCAGTTTAGACTCCAGCGGGACTCCCATCTTTGCAGGGTTCTGTGTCTGCACCCTTTGGTGGCACCTCACAAATGTCCTATGTATTGGTCAGGACAAGACCAAATGGGGTGAGGCAGCCAGCAGGACCCAAGGTTCCTAGCCTTTGGGAATGATTTCTAAACCGGATGAACAGTTCTAGCCTCAGGAATGCTGGCATCTGGCTTGGAGTGCAGCCACCACCCGCCTCATTCCTGTAGGGGCTTTGCTGGTCTGCTGAGAAGAGGACCAGGGCAGGCAGGGTTGGGGCGCTGGGACCAGGCCTCACTACCCACGGTGGGTGCTTTCTCTGGGCTTCCACCCTTTGTCGGGATGAGCCAAGGAACACACCAACCTCATCTCCTTCAAAGAAGATGGTGTGTCTAGATTGAGTCTACTTAACACCTCTTTCCCAAAGACTGTCGGATGTGTGGAGAGGCGCCCGTGGGGTGAGCAAATGCTGTGTAGGGAGCTGAACAAGAAGCTGTGGAGCACAGGGAGGCTTCACACCATGAGACAGACATCAGGGAGCCTTCCCTCAGGCCTCTCAGGACCCCTGGTCCTGAAGGATGCTGGAGTGTCTTCTCCTCCCCTGTTTGGAACCCATCTAGCTTTAAGGAAATTGGACACTTCTCTAAGGGCAGGCCTGTTCAGACCAGTACACACCGCCTGCCCCTCTGACCTTTCCTTTCCAGATGAGGAGGTGGCAGCCCTGATCCTCCAAGCCTGCAGCATTGGCCCCTCACCACATGGCTCCTAGAGATGGAACTAGCCTGCAAAGGCCATTCCCTTCCATGAACCAGGAGCTAGGGCGCCACCTAATCACCTGGGCCTCTTAAGATTCCATCTAGAACCAAGTCAGTGGCTCACTGGTGTCAGGTCAGGGTCAGCCAGGGGCCAAGGTGTCCTGTGCAGATCTGCTGGTGAGCACTTCAGGGAGACGCCTCAGGTGAGGACAGGAGTTCGAGGCTGCGGTAAACTATCATTGTGCCACTGCACTCCAGCCGGAGCAACAGAGTAAGACCCTGTCTCTAAAAAAAAAATTTTTTTTTTAATAAATAGAAATACAAAAATGACAATTGACACTGCAGGTGCTGTTTATCTAACACTGTGGTAAGAGATTCCTGCCTTAACTCATTTCAGTCTCACAGTCACACCCCCAGGGGCTGAATGAGTTAAGGCAGGTAATCTCTTACTACTGTGCTTGATAGATAAAAAGCGTCCTAAATAAGAGGAAAGTCAGAAACAAACAAGTTCTAACCGGAGTTGGAAGTCTAGCTCAAGTCCATTCTCTTGGCTGCTGGGCTGTCCTGCTTTTCATAAGCTGTATGGACGTTTTCGGGGCACTGAACATTTATATAGGATATGTTGCAGGGGAGGGTAAGCAAGAAGCAACACCACCACCCTCTCTGCCTCCCCTCCTGCCATCACTCCGTTTCCTTTCTGACTCCCCACAGACTAGTCCCCCATCCCCAGTTCTGGTGGTTTACCCTCCTGTGTCCAGGGGATTTTTTTGTCAGGCTCTCCTGCTTAGCCACAGGAGAATTACCTGTGATTACCCCCACTCAGGGCTGATCATGGCCTTCCCTGGGATTTGATCGGAGCTGGAAAGAGACAAGACAAAACCGTGCATGTGAGCTCTGGGGCTGCCCACGTGTGAGAGCACCCGGGCAGCCAGCACTTGGGTCCTTCCTAGGTTTTGGCCATCCGGCTCTCCTCTCCATTCTTGAACTTCCCCACAATCCCTCTGGCAAATTCTCTTTTTGCTTTGCCCCAGTGTGAGTTTAGTTTCTGTTTCTTGCCACCAAAAGGATATAGACCACGTGTCTGGCTAACTTTGGACTGTCCCTGCTGTGGTCTTAGTTGAAGTCCTCACAGGTTGTCCCCTGAAATAGTGCAGCGGGCTTGGTGGAGTCTGCTTTCCTCCAGTGTCCCCACTCCCTCCCGCCCAGCAGGACTGAGCCTTTTCAAAGGCAGGCATCCTTAATAGTCCTGCGTGTGGCAGGTACTTTCGTGCACTGCCTTGACCCCTCCCCAGCCAGTGAGGCTATTAGACCCTCCACCTTCTGTCCCAGCTCCATCTGCCTGTGGCCCCTCAAGGCATTCTGCTCCCTCTGCCTCAAGCACTGCCTCGGAAACAGCCCATCAGACCTGGGAAGGGCCTCGGTCCTCTGCCCCAGCTTTTCTACAGGACTGTGTGAGTAGTTCCAGGAGAGCTGTGCCTGGGTAGTGCCACCACACAGCCTTGGCAGGGCACAGCACCATAATAGCTGGCCCTGACTGTCCTTGTCAATCAGGACAAGCCTCTGCCTGAGTGACCTTGCTGAGCTCCCTCAGCTGTGAAGATAGGTGATGCTCACAGCTGATCCAGGTGAACAGGAGTATCATGGGGCGTTCTGAGCATGATACTTAACACATCTGTCCACCTCGGCCTGCCTTTCTTTTTGCCCGGTGGATGTCTGTAGCACTGGGTGTGAGCCCTGCACTGGACCCTAGCTCCCAGCTCCATGCTGGACCACCACAAGCAGGGGCCAACACAGACATGTCAAGGGTGTGAAGCAGCAAACAGCAACACTGGGTGAATTTACACTGAACGGCGCTGGGGAAGAATGGCTGTCAGGGCTCTTTTCTCTTCCCTTAGAATGTGCAAAAGTCTTCTATGCTGCTGGTGCTAAGCTGGTGCTCTGTGGCCGGAATGGTGGGGCCCTCGAAGAGCTCATCAGAGAACTCACCGCTTCTCATGCCACCAAGGTGAGCCACGGGCATGCTTTCCATGGGGAAGGAGTGCAGGCCCTCTTCTGTAGGCACTGAGGAGATAGAGGTCCACTCCTGGACTGCTGAGTTACAGGACATCCATGTGTCACACTGTCCCAGGGAAGGCAGCAGGTCTCCATAGCGAATCGGGCCCGCTGCATGGGGAGGGAGAACTGTCCGGTGGTTTACATCCCGATGCCCCTACTGGCTAGCACTATGAGTTTAGAAAGTTCTCTTTTCTCCCTTCCCTTTTACCTGGCTAAGCTCTACTCATTGGGTGGGAGTAGGAGATGGTGATAACTTTAAAAGGTTTTTTTGGAGACAGAGTCTCGCTCTGTCACCCAGGCTGGAGTACAATGTCCCAATCTCAGCTCACTGCAATTTCCGCCCCTGGGTTCAAGTGATTCTCCTGCCTCAGCCTCCCAAATAGCTGGGACTACAGGCATGCACCATCACACCCAGCTCATTTTTGTGTTTTTAGTAGAGATGGGGTTTCACCATGTTGGCCAGGATGGTCTCAATCTCTTGACCTCATAATCCGCCTGCCTCACCCTCCCACAGTGCTGAGATTGCAGGCATGAGCCACCGTGCCCAGCCAACTTTTATAGTTTTAAATCTTACATTTAGGTGACTGATCCATTTGAGTTAATTTTTATAAATGGTATTAGGTAAGAGTCCAGTTTCATTCTTTTGCATGTGGTTATCTCCTTTTTCCAGCACCATTTGTTGAAGACCGTCTTTCCTCATTGAATGGGCATCCTTACAAAAATCAATTGATTACATATTTGAAGTGTATATTTCTCGGTTCCTTGTTCTATTCAGTCAGTCTATATGTCTGTCTTATGTCATATCATACGGGTTTGTCTCCCCCTTAGGGGGAGGGATGGAGCATGAGGGTAGGAAGGGGGAGGCAAGGGGGAGGAGGAGGGGAAGGACCCATACTGTTTTAATTGCTGTAGCTTTGTACAACTTTTGGAGTGAGGAAGTGTGAGTCCTCCAGCTGTCCTTTTTCAGGAGTGTTTTGGCTATTCAGGGCCCATTGTCATCCCATATGAATTTTAGGATTCTTTTTTCTATTTCTGCAAAAACTGCCAGTGGGATTTTGACAGGAATAACATCGAGTCTATTGATCACTTTGGGTAGTACTCTCACATTAACAACACGGTCTTCCAATCCATGAATGTAGGATGTCTTTCTGTGAACTTATGTCTTCTTTAATTTCTGTCAGCAGTGTTTTACAGTCTTTCACCTCCTTAGATTATTGCCAAGTGTTTATCTTAGTCTGTTTTATGTTGCTGTAACAATAGCAGAGGCTGGGTGATTTTTATTTTTATTTTATTATTATTTTTAGAGACATAGTCTTGCTCTGTCCTCTAGGCTAGAGTTCACTAGTGCAATCATGGCTCACTGCAGCCTGAAAATCCCAGACTCAAGCAATCCTCTGCCTCAGCCTCCTGAGTAGCTGGGACTACAGGCACACGCCACTGTACAGGGTTAATTTTTTCATTTTTTGTAGGGACAGGGTCCTGCTATGTTACCCAGGCTGGTCTCGAACTCCAGGCCTCAACTGATCTGCCCACTTTGCCCTCCCAAAGTGCCAGGATTATAGGCGTGAGCCACTGCGCCTAGCCAGACTGAGTAATTTTTAAAGAAATCTAGTTTTCAAAGTCTGGAGACAGAGAAATCCAAGTTTGAGGAGCCGGCATCTGGCAAGGGTCTGGTGTCTGGCAGGGGCCTTCTTGCCACGTCATAACATGTAGGAAGGCACCATGTGGGCGAGAAAGAGGGAAAAGGGCTGAATTTATCCTTTGAGAAGGAAGCTCCCACAATAACAGCATTAATCCATTCATGAAGTTCCCAGCTCTCAACACTGTTGCATTGGGGATTAAGTTTCTAACACACGGGTTTTGGGAGACACATTCAAACCATAGCATATTTAATTTTTTAAACTGCTATTGTAAATAGAGTTGCTTTCCTGATTCCCTTTTCAGATTATTCATTGTTTGTATATAGAAACACAGCTGATTTTTGGATGTTGCTCTTGTACCTTGCCACTTTGCTCGATTTGTTAATTAACTCTTACTAGGTTTTTGTGGATGTATTGGAATTTCCTGTATATAGAATCATGCCATCTGCAAACAGAGATAGTTTTACTTTTTCCTTTCCAAATTGGGTCATTTTTTCTTGTCTAATTGTTCTGGTTAGCACTTCCAGTACGGTGTTGAGTAGCCGTTGCGAAAGCAGGCATCCTATCTTGTTCCTGATCTTAGAGGAAGGCTTTCCATTTTTTTCCACTGAGTATGTTATCCGTGGGTTTTTCACAAACACCCTGTGCTGTGTTGAGGAATTTCTGGTCTATTCCTAGTTTATTGAGTATGTTTACCATGAAAGGGTGTTAAATTTTGTCAGATCTCTTCTCTGCATCAATTGAGATGATCAAGTGGGTTTTTTTTTTTCTTCATTCTATTAATGTGGTATAACGTTCAATTTTCTTTTTTTTCTTTCTTTTTTTGAGAAGGAGTTTTGGCTCTTATTACCCAGGCTGGAGTGCAGTGGCACCATCTCAGCTCACGACAACCTCCGCCTCCCAGGTTCAAGTGATTCTCCTGCCTCAGCCTCCCAAGTAGCTGGGAGTGCAGGCATATGCCTCCATGCCCAGCTAATTTTGTATTTTTAGTAGAGACGGGGTTTCTCCATGTTGGTCAGGCTGGTCTCGAACTCCTGACCTTAGGTGATCCACCCGCCTCAGCCTCCCAAAGTGCTAGGATTATAGGCATGAGCCACCGCCCCCCGCCAGTTTTCTTTTTTTTAATTTAAAGAGACAGGGTCTTGCCATGTTGCCCAGGCTGGCCTCGAACTCCTGGGCTCAAGTGAGCCTCCCTCCTCAGCCACCCAAAGTGCTGGGGATTACAGGCATGAGCCACTGTACCTGGCCATGATTGATTTTCCTATGTTGAACCAATCTTGCTTGTATTCCTAGGATAAATCCTACTTGGTCGTGGTGAATAATCCTTTTAATATGCTGTTAAATTCAATTTGCTGGTATTTTGTTGAAGATTTTTGCATCTATATTCATAAGAGATATTGCTCTATAATTTTCTTGTGATATCTTTAATCTGGCTTTAGTATCAAAGTAATGTTGGCCTCAGACTGAATTAGGAAGTGTTTTCTCCTGTTCAGTTTTCTAGAAGAGTACGAGAAGAACTGGTGTTAATTCTCCTTTAAATGTTTGGCAGAATTCACCAGTGAAGCCATCCGGTCCAGGACTTTTCTTTGTTGGGAGGTTTTGATTGCTGATCCAATCTCTTTATCTGTTATAAGTCTCCTGAAATTTTTTTATTTCTTTTTGAGTCAGTTTAGGTTATTTGTGTTTTTTAAGGAATTTATCCATTTATTCTAGTTTTTCTAACTTGTTGGCAAATAATTGTTCATAATATTCTTTTATATCATTTTTCATAATCTTTATAATCTTTTTTATCATGTGTTATCATTTCTGTAAAGTTGGTGGTCCCACTTTCATTTCTGATTTTAGTTATTTGTGTCTTCTGATTTTTCCTTGTCAGTCTAGTTAATGCTTTCTCAACTTCGTTGATCTTTTCAAAGAACCAACTTTTGGTTTCATTGATTTTTATTGTTTTTCTGTATTCTGTTTGTTTGTCTCTGTTCTGATCTTTACTATAACATTTCCTTCCTCTGCTGGTTTTGGGTTTAGTTTGCTATTCTTTTTCTACTTCCTTAAAGTATAAAGTTATGTTATTGTTTTGAGCCTGAGTGATCTGTGGGACACATAGCTCGGATGGCCTGCCACTCAGAAAGTGAATTTGGTGTCTGTTTTATTTGACCAGGTGCAGACACACAAGCCTTACTTGGTGACCTTCGACCTCACAGACCCTGGGGCCGTAGTTGCAGCAGCAGCTGAGATCCTGCAGTGCTTTGGCTATGTGGACATACTTGTCAACAATGCTGGGATCAGCTACCGTGGTACCATCATGGACACCACAGTGGATGTGGACAAGAGGGTCATGGAGACAAACTACTTTGGCCCAGTTGCTCTAACAAAAGGTAACAGTCTTGAGAAAAGAGCAGTGATAAGTGATATGTTGGCATTCTTTTTACTTCACTCGGATCCTTTCCAGCTAAACGTTCCCTATCTCCATCCTCTCTATTGCCCTGGAGTGGGTGTTAGGTGTTATTGTCACAGTTTGAGTATTTGCTTTATAGCTTCCAATCAAGATGTTCTCTTTAGTGATGGCCACATTTGTGCAGCATTACCTACATGTCTTTTTCATGGTGTCTGCAAACCCCTACAGGGTGGGGATATTTTTATGTCCCACCACGGATTTCAGTCCAGGGGAGAGGCTCCAGCAGGAAAAGGGAACTGAGCTAACCATTTGCAGTGACCTCCGTCCCCGTTTCGTTGCCTCTCTCCTCTCTCCTGCCAGCCTGCTGGCACTCTGCTGAGCATAGGAGGCTAGGAGTTCCAACACAGTCCTCCACCCTAAGGGGTGTTCACCGTTCTCCCTTACTCTGACTAAATATCAAAAGCACGGTCGCCTTCCATCAGCATCACATGCAATGACTGGAAGTAGGGTGCTTGTCTAAGCCTCTGCCTCTGTCCTCAGCACTCCTGCCCTCCATGATCAAGAGGAGGCAAGGCCACATTGTCGCCATCAGCAGCATCCAGGGCAAGATCAGCATTCCTTTTCGATCAGCATGTGAGTACTGCTCTCTCCCACAAAATGCTCTGCTTTATGGTTTTTTCCTGATTATAAAAGTAACACATTCACTATCTAGAATTTAGACACTGTAGAAATAAACTATCCAGAATGCAAAGGCACTTTAGAATGTGTTCTCCAGAGCCACATGTCTGGGATCAAATCCCAACTCTACTTTTTGTCCCCTGTGTGACCTTGGGCAAGTATCCCCACTTCTCTGTGCCCTGCCCTCAAGTGTAAATGGAGACAGCCTCAGTCTTAGCCCAGAGGACTGCTGTGAGCACAGTGCTTGGAGCTGCGCCAGGCACTAAGCACTAGGCATGTGCTAGCCACCCCTACTGTTACGATTATTAGCTTGTCCCACAGATATAACCATGCCATCACTTTGGGGCATATGCCTCCACAATTTTTCTTACATGTAATTCAAACATGCAAAAATGGGATGGCATTATTATTCATATTGCTTTGTAGCTTGTTAATCCCACTTAACAACGTATCTTTCTACATCAGCATGTATGGATTTACCTCATGCTTTCAATATAGTAGTCCACTGAATGCATGTGACATAATTGATTTAGCCATTTTCCTGGATACTTGAGGATTTTTTTTTCCCCCGGTCTTTGACCATTAGCAGCAGTGTGCTATGTAGAACATTCTCAAATATTTATATCTTGGGGCACTCAATGGGAGGGTTTCAATAAAAAGGGTTGTAAGGTAATTTCACAAACTGTCCTTTCTTTGCATCACCTCCTGAAAGGAAATACTGCCTTATCTCCTCTCAGCCACCCAAAGGCTAGACCCAGCCACAGCCTGGTCAGCAAAGGCAGGGAAATCTGAGCTGCTGCAGCACTTTGCAAGGGCAGCCACAAACATCCAGGTCCATGACACTATATGGCCACCTGTGAACTGGGAGTGTAACATAATTTATTCTTTCTTCCAAGATCTGGATCCCAGCTGTACCTTTTGGCTCTGGTATACAACCAGAAAATCTGGTTGTATTTTCTTGGACACATTACTTAACTATTCTGATCCTGTTTCCTTACATATTAGTGAGATTTACAATCATCATACATGCTTGTACATACAGCTTTCCCTGTTTATTAATACTCTCTTTCAACTTTGGATAGGACACCATCTAAGGCTTCTCAAATGGTGCAGGAAAAAAAATAGTATATATAGAATCATAACTAATAAAGCAAATGAGTTAAAATGTTAAGAATGGGTAAATCAGGGTAAAGGGTTTGTTTGTTTTGTTTTGTTTTTGAGACAGAGTTTCACTCTTGTTGCCCAGGCTGGAATGAAGTGGTGCAATCTCGGCTCACTGCAACCTCCGCCTCCCGGGTTCAAGTGATTCTCCTGCCTCAGCCTCCTGAGTAGCTGGGATTACAGGCACGTGCCACCACACCTGGCTAGCTTTTGTATTATTGGTAGAGACAGGGTTTCACGTGTTGGCCAGGCTAATCTCAAACTCCTGACCTCAAGTGATCCGCCCACCTCAGCCTCCCAAAGTGCTGGGATTACAGGCGTGAGCCACTGCGCCCAGCTGGAGTCCTTTATACTAAATTATTTTCAAGTTTTACTTTGATTTATAATAATACCACTGATTTTTGTTGTCTGTTTGGCCTGCTGACTGCAGTAAGGCGTACAATGATTGGTCTCCATATTCAGCTTTATAATGACCAGGCTGAATATGGAGTGCCTCTTGGGCAAGTTGGTTAACCCAGATAAGTAACAGCCTTCTCACCTATAAAATGGGGAGAACGGCATTCTCTCTCTCACGCGGCTACAGTGAAGACCAAGTCGCGTGATCCACGCAGTGTGCTTAGTACTCACTGGCAGGGCAAGTGATGTGGACAGTGACGAGGTCAGCACAGCCTGGCTGAGAACTCACAGCCTGAGAGCTCTGGGGAGAACCAGCTGTCAAGAGTGTAGCCTTCTATTTTGGGGACTTACAGGATAACCCACTCTTCCCTGTCCCCAAGCCTGGGCTGTACTCTTGGAATCATGGCTGATAGGGGCATCCACCCACAGCCAATCCATCCAGCCCCCAGCAGCTGTGCCCCAAACCAACGGAGCAGGCCCAGCAAGGCACTGCAGCAAGCTCAGACGCTACTGCACTGCCTCATGTGACTTGCTGCGACACTTCCTTGCTTTCTCCCTTCCTGTTTCCTTAGCTGACGGATGCCCCTTCTTTCCTAAGGCTAAAACATTTACAATTCTGAATTGGAGGAAACTGATTTACTGTGGAGACGCTGGTATGTTTCCCAGGAATGTCATTATAGGGTCACTGTGTTCCCATTCAGAGCACCTTTTACTGGGTTGTGAAGCCCTTGCTCGAGGGCAGACACAGCTGTTTCTTGCAGGTGGAGTAAGCTCTGTAGCTCTTCTAGATGAAAAGCCACTGCCTGGATATTTGTCAAAATGAGATACATAAGAAGGCAGGCCTGAATTTTTTACACCCATGAAGGCCCACTGATGGGGCCAGTTCTGTCACCTGGTAACTCACTGGGGAGGACTAGGCAGCCAGAGCTACATGGCAGGTCTGCGGGGCCAGCATGGGAGCTGTCCGGCCTGCCACCAGGTGAAGAAAGCTACTTGCAGGAACAGTAGAATAGGTAAGAGTTCATTTCTGTATTAAAAGATGTATATATATATTTTATGGAAAATGTGTACAATCACATGGCTATACGTAGGATATATTAAAGAAATAAATCACTGGGCATGGCTGCTTACTCCTATAATCCCATCGCTCTGGGAGGGTGAGGTGGGAGGATTGCTTGAGGCCAGGAGGTCGAGGCTGCAAAAAGCTATAATCCTATGATCACAGCTCTTCTCCAGCCTGGGTGACAGAGAAGACGTCTTCTCTAAAAACGCAAAACAGAATTATACAAAAATCCTGGGAAACTGTTAGCACTGATTATCTCTAGGATTGGAATTTGGAAGACAGGAGGACTGTCTTTCTTTTCCTTTCTTTTCTTTTCTTTTTTTTTTTTTTTTTTTCTTTTTTTTTTTTTTTCTTTTTTTCTTTTTCTTTCTTTTCTTTTTTTCCTTTCCTTTTCTTCTTTCTTTTTCTTTCTTCTTTCCTTCTTTCCTTCTTTCTTCTTTCTTCTTTTTTTTCTTCCTTTTCCTTTCTTCCTTTCTTCCTTTTCCTTCTTCCTTCTCTTTCCTTCTTTCCTTCCTTCTTCCTTCTTTCTTTCTTTCTTTCTTTCTTTCTTTCTTTCTTTCTTTCTTTCTTTCTTTCTTTCTTTCTTTCTTTCTTTCTTTCTTTCTTTCTCCCTTTTATATACTATTTGAATGTTTTACCCAGTAGGCATTCAGTTTTTTTGTTTTTGTTTTTTTTTAACTTTTAACTTGGAATAACTTCAGACTTAAAGTTGCAGGAACAGCACAAATCACTCCCATGCACGCTTCATGCAGATTCCCTAATAACCTTTTTACCTTATTTCCTTTATCATACTCCCTCTCTGTGTATATGCATATATACCATTTATAATACATATAAAACTATATGTATATATAGCTTATAATTTTTTTCCTGAACCATTCGAAAGGAAACTGGAGACATGATGCTCGTTTACTTCTATTTCAGTGTGTTTCCTAAGAACAAGGGCACAGTACACTTCTCAAAGTCAGGAAATGAACATTGTTATAATACTGTAATCTTAAATTATAAAACCAGGTTTTAAAGCTGCAGTCCCAGCTGAGGCGGGAGGATCACATGAACTCAGGAGTTGGAGTCCAGCCTAGGCAACATAGCAAGACCTGATCACAAGTAAAACCAGGTTTTGAGAACAGAGAGTGTGAATGGTGGTGAATAGTTGGGTACCAGGCCATGCCCACCCCGGCGCACTCACTCCCCTGCCTCTCCGTCCACACGTGTAGACGCAGCCTCCAAACATGCAACCCAGGCTTTCTTTGACTGTCTGCGCGCCGAAATGGAACAGTATGAAATTGAGGTGACCGTCATCAGCCCCGGCTACATCCACACCAACCTCTCTGTCAATGCCATCACCGCGGATGGATCTAGGTATGGAGGTGAGGCCCGGTTTCTCTTTTCTCCTATGAAAATCTGTCGGTCAGCCACAGTGAGACATGCGGTTCTTACATCAGGGATTCTTTGGTCATTTTCATTTGGAATAGAACTTCTAAAGTGAAAAAATTGAGGTGTTGGTTCTAGATATGGACTATTGAATAATCTTCGTTTACCCCACCATGGCCTACCCTTAGTGTGAACGTCACCATTGCAGCGTTCAGAACAGGACCTCTGTGGGCAGGACTCAAGGGCTAAAAGGAAGTTGCCAAGCTGGGATGCCACCAGACTCCCAACTAACCCGTTCGCAGATCCCGAGTCCATGGAGTATTATCAGCATCGGGATTGAGTGAACTGACCTCATGGCAAGTGTAGGGTGTTTGATGGTCTGTCTCTGTCCCGTAGGCTTGAGAAATGACTGATTCCGGGCCAGTCTTCAGGGTGAGGCCGAGTGCAGCAGTCTCAGCACCTTCATCTTGTCTCATTTGGAGACAGTGCAGAGCTGACCTGCAGTCACCACTCGTGGGCAGAGCAGCCGGCCCCAGCATGCAGGCTCAGGCCAAGCAGAGACCAGTGTGCCCGTGATCACTGGAGCCCTTGGAGCTGGGGCTGCCTCCCCTTGCTTGGAACAGGGCCTGCTCACCCCTCCAGTGCTGTCCTGCCATGTCCTCCTCCCTGAAGTGATCTCTTGGGGTTTGTGCTGTGATGTCTGCCAGGGGCCTCATGGTCCTGCACCCAGCCCAGCCAGGCCTGAACCAAGACTGCCCATGTCCTGGCAGAGCTGCGCTCACACAGCGAGTCCTCTTTTCCCACAGTAGACACTATACAGAGGCATGGGGCTTCATACAGCTTTACACCTGTTTAAACCTAGAAGACGCCACTTAAAAAATTCTCTCTGTGGCATTTCAAAATAAGCTGTAATCCAAAACTTCCTCCTTTTCTGCATTAACAAAAACACCATGAGAACAGACATTGGTGAGGGAGCTCAGGCAAGCTGGACAACTTAGTAGTGGTTTCCTGTGGCTAGAAACTGTGGCCCACACCTGTAATCTCAACACTTTGGGAGGTCAAGTCAGGAGGATCACTTCAGCCTAGGAGTTTGAGACCAGTCTGGGCAATAGTGCGAGACCTTGCCTCCACAAAAAATATGAAAATTAGCCAACGATGGTGGCACCGCCTGTAGTCCAGCTACTCAGGAGGCTGAGTCAGGCAGGAGGATTGCTTGAGCCCAGGAGGTCGAAGCTGCAGTAAGCCATGATTGTGCCACTGCACTCCAGCCTGGGCAACAGAGCGAAACCCTGTCTCAAAAAAAAAAAAAAAAAGTGGTTTCACATGGTCTGTGCTAGTGGCCGCTCCTGTGTGCCTGCCAGCTGGTCCTACTTTGCTGGCAAAATTGTCAAATTACTCGGGTAGAAGGAACATCAGTTGCTGTTAACCTAACACCTCCTTCTAATCTCTTCCAGCTGTCCCTTCTAACACCTAAAACAAACTAAGGATTTCTTCCTGTTTCTCATCCAGTTAGTACTTGACATCGAGAACAGGGACATGTGTCTGCTCCTGACTCAGTGAGCTTGTGCCTGTGGGCGTCAGTAGTCCCCAGCCACCTCTGTCTGGCCACCCTGAAGCCAGGCTACCCAAGACAAATGAGGTGGCACAACATCCCTTAGTCTTCAGTTGTTCTAACAGGCACACGTTTCCCAGGTCAGGAAGCTGCTTTTCAGATGCAGTGGGAGGGGCTCACTCTGTGCCTTTGCTGTGGACCACCAGGCAGACAGACTCACTTTGGTTCCAAGCCCTGGCTGGGATCCTCAGTCTACCTTGTTTCCACATCCCACCCCGCTCTTGCTTCCCCCACTGACCCACATCCAGCTGCAAAATGGTTCCTCCTTTCCTGGGAGCATGGAATCCTCAGGGGTGGTGGCACACCACCGGCTTCCTGGCCCTGGGAAGAGCTTCGTGGTGGCAAAGGCAGCAGGCTGACCTGACGGCTCACATCAGCTCCACTCCTCAAGAGGGACCTCTGCTTCCAAGTTAGTTCATGTGTTTCTTCTGTTTTATTTATTTCAGTTATGGACACCACCACAGCCCAGGGCCGAAGCCCCGTGGAGGTGGCCCACGATGTTCTTGCTGCTGTGGGGAAGAAGAAGAAAGACGTGATCCTGGCTGACCTACTGCCTTCCTTGGCCATTTATCTTCGAACTCTGGCTCCCGGGCTCTTCTTCAGCCTCATGGCCTCCAGGGCCAGAAAAGAGCGGAAATTCAAGAACTGCTAGTACTCCGACCAGCCAGAGCCGGGGCAGAGAAGCAGCGCTCTTAGGCTTGGTTCCTCTACAAGGGACAGTTGTATTTGTTGAGACTTTAATGGCGATTTGTCTCACAAATGGGAAAGATTGAAGAAACACGTCTCACGCAGATCTGCTGGCAGAGGAAGAGAACCAAAAACGGCAGCAAGCTTCCTCCCAGGGTGAGGGGAGACACTTCCGGAGTAAACGTGGAGCTGGGGTTTAACCCTAAAACCAAGAAATAAACATCTCAAACAGTAAGAGTGGTCGTCTTCAAGGACTAGAACCTTGTGTCCTTTGAATTCTGGCCCTGCCAGCTCCTAGAAATTGTTTCAACCTTGGAATCAGAAGATGTGATGTCACCTGACCCAGCTGCTTTTGTATTTGACTTAAACCTCATTGTTTGGGCAGAAAGGCCACCTCCAGTACTCAAGGGAGAAAGCTGTAGTTTCAAGAAGTCAGTAGTCACACCCATTTCCGGGCCCTGTGATATCTCATCCAACATAAAAAGCGGGCCAGTATGTAATGGTTTATTTGGCATATCCCAAGGGATGGCTTTAGCACCTCATAAGAATTCCCGTTTCTCTCTTAACTCTCACTGCATCCCTGTAGGATGCCAGGCACCACTCCAAGCAGAAGGTGACGTTAGTAAAGAGAGAGCAGCCAAAAGGGAGAGGAGGATGCTACATGGCCCCGTGCATCCCTCTAGAAGTAAAACCATCAAATTGGCCAGCTGGGCAGATTCTACAGCAGCCCCTGGTCTGGTGGAAGTGAGCCTTGGTTAGCTGTGACGAGTTGGATCATAGCCAGAAAGAATGCCTGTTTCTGCCTTTCTGATTTAGTAAAAATACATGGTTGAGGCTCACTGAGTAGGTCAAGTTCACTTCTAGTGTTTAGGAAGAAACTTTTCCTGTTATTGAAACTGAAAATTGAAATGTAGGTCCACTGCAGACTTCCCCAAATTGGATTACAAATCTCCTATCATATCATACTGACATCTTGCACCATGTCCCAACTCTGGCCTTGTTGAGCCTGTATTTTATGACCATTATATAACATTGGCAGCAACATGGTTTTTTTTTGTTTTGTTTTGAGACGGAGTCTCCCTCAGTCGCCCAGGCTGGAGTGTAGTGGCGCAGTCTTGGCTCACTGCAACCTCCGCTTCCCGGGTTCAAGCAATTCTCCTGCCTCAGCCTCCCAAGTAGCTGGGACTACAGGCACATGCCACCACACCCAGCTAATTTTTGTATTTTTAGTAGAGGCGGGGTTTCACCACATTGGCCAGGCTGGTCTCGATCTCTTGACCTCATGATCTGCCTGCCTCGGCCTCCCAAAGCGCTGGGATGACAGGCGTGAGCCACCGCGCCTGGCCTGAGCTTGTATTTTAAACAGCTGCCCTAGACAGATGATAAAAATGGCCACAGCCAGCCTTTGGTTAGGGTGTCAGAGGGTTTCAGGTTTCCTGGGAGGAGGAGGACAAATGGGTGATTAGATCTGGTGACTTGTCCCAGCTCCTAACGCTTCCTGGACGTTCCAGGAGCCTCTGGGTAAAATGTGGACACAGACATGATGGGTCTTTCTTCATTTTCCAGGTAAATTGTCAACCTCCCTCCTGACATGGAAGAGAAGGGTCTCCTTAGTGTTCACACTGGAGACAGTAGACTCAGGCAAGAGCTGGAATTGAGACAGCAGCGGCACCTGTCTAAAACTCAGCCCGAGTCTAAGGTTGAATGAAAGTGCCGAGCACACAGCAGGTTTCCAGGAAATGGCAGCAATGAAGGGCGCTGTCCCTCTAGATGGAAACGAGAGGACGTTTCTCCTTGGACGCTGTTGGCTGCCACGCTCAGAGGCACCTGGTGTCCAGGTGCTGTCCTTTCCTCTCCATTATATAACATGGTCAGCAACTGGAGGTTGATGTGATAGGTTGCCCTCAAAGGAATGCAAGTTTAGCAACCATGTACTCCATCATCAGAAGACAGGAACGTCACATATGTTGTTGAGGTTGTTGGTTTTGGGGCCATTGTGACCTGACTCACAGCTGGGGTGCATGGAGCTTGGGCTGGCATTAAATATTTCTTAACCTACATACCACCTATTAGTTGTAAGTGGTTGGATTGCAGCCAGAACGAACACCTGCTTTCATGTTGTTTCTTTTTTTTTTTTTTTGAGATGGCCTCGGCCTCCCAAAGTGTTGGGATTATAGGCCTGAGCCACCGTGCCTGGCCTCTTTTTCTTTTTTCTTTTTTTTGAGACAGAGTCTCGCTCTGTTGCCCAGGCTGGAGTGCAGTGGCATGATCTCTGCTCACTGCAAGCTCCACCTCCCGGGTTCACACCATTCTCCCGCCTCAGCCTCCTGAGTAGCTGGGACTACAGGCGCCTGCCACCATGCCCGGCTAATTTTTTTGTATTTTTAGTAGAGACAGGGTCTCACCATATTAGCCAGGATGGTCTCGATCTCCTGACCTCGTGATCCACCCGCCTCGGCCTCCCAAAGTGCTGGGATTACAGGCGTGAGCCACCGTGCCCGGCCTCTTTTCTGAAATGGAATTTCGCTCTTGTCGCCCAGGCTGAAGTACAATGGCATGATCTCAGCTCACTGCAACCACCACCTCCTGTGACTCACCTTCAAGTGATTCTCCTGCCTCAGCCTCCTGAGTAGCTGGGATTATAGGTGTGCGCCCCCATGCCCAGCTACCACCTTTCTAATTTATTAAAAATACATGGTTGAGGCTTACTGAGTAGGTCCAGTTCATTTCTAAAGTTTATTTCCTCCCAATTAAAGTGGTTAGCAACTGGAGATTGACGTGCTAGACCAGCCAGATCTCAATATTATTGTTTACTTATCCAGCATTCTAAAAACCTCAAATCACTTTCTAAAACTTAACTTTATAAACTTTATATTTTGCCATATAAACTATAACACAAACTGAAGAATTGTTAAAATCTATCTAAATAAAGCTGTTTGCCAAAGGCAGAGTCTGAGGCCCACTGTTTGAGGAGGAGGTTGGCGAGTCCCAGAGGGGACCTGTTAAAGTCGCACCAACACCAGACAGACGCTCTTCTTGGCCTCAGAGGCTGAGGACTAAAAGGGCCTGCAGCTGTGCTCTTTCATGTCCATGTTGTCTTGGGTCGCTGGAGTTCAGTGTCCCTTCCTGGAGACAGCCGTGGTTTGGATAATGTGGGACTTACTGAGCCTTTAGAATTCTCCCAACTTAGCAGCTGAAGCACCTTCCTGTGGGTGGGCCCCACGTGCACTGCTCCAAAGCAAGAAGCCCAGCCACAGCCCCGGTTCAGCTGATGGCCTTTGAGCAACCTTCACTGCTCTTGGATTTTCACATCAGTGTTTGAACATGGACGTTGCCAGCAGGGTTAGCGATGCTGCCGTTCCACTTTCTCTTTTTTGTCTTTAGAGGGTTTTTGCCTCCTCCTCTTTCATCCTGAAATTCTGCTGGGGAGGTCTGAAAAGCATGCTTTTTCATTGGTTCTGCCTTCAGATATCTGAGGAAGTTCAAAGACACTTTCCACTTTGCTCTTTAAGCCCCTTGGTGTTTCACATCATGCCAAAACCAGAGACGGAAAAATAAAACCAATTAGCTTTTCCGAACAGCAGCGCCTCCATGCAGGGCAGAGGGGCCATAGCTGATGAGTGAATCGCAGAAACGGTGTACAGCCCTGGGCGCCCTGCCCACCTCCCAGCAAGTCTCCCTTCCTTCCCTCAGGGCCCAGCAGCGGCTGCAGCAGATGTGAAAACTCTGGAGGGAACTAAGAGACCAGAACAAGGAGATCCAGTTTGATCAGTTGTCCTTTTACATAACAGCTCTTCACTCTTCTCTGAAATTGGGTGGGGATGGGTAGCTAAAACTAATTTACTAGATTAATGACACCATCTATTCCCTAAAGTGGTCCATGTAGGACTCATTTAAGTGGATTTTGCACAGGAGGGCCCCGGTAACTTGGCCTTTGCTTTCTCTCAGCAGTTACTGAATGCTGTTTTTAAAAAAAAGAAAACAATTGGCCAGGCGCGGCAGCTCGTGTCTGTAATCCCAGCACTTTGGGAGGCCAAGGCAGATGGATCACCTGAGGCCAGGAGTTCAAAACCAGCCTGGCCCGCATGGTGAAACCATGTCTCTACTAAAAAGACAAAAAATTAGCCAGTCGTGGCAACCTGTAATCTCAGCTCACTCGGGAGGCTGAGGCAGGAGAATTGCTTAGACCCAGGAGACAGAGGCTACAGTGAGCCGAGATCACGCCATTGCACTCTAGCCTGGGCGACAGAGAGACTCCATCTCAAGAAAAAAAAATTATTTTTTGGAGACAGGGTCACACTCTGTCGCCCAGGCTGGAGTGCAGTGGCAAGATCACAGCTCACTGCATCCTCAACCTCTGAGGCTTGAGCAATCCTCCCTCCTCCGACTCCTGAGTAGCTGGGACCACATTTGCATACCACCACATCTGGCTAATTTTCATCTTTTTTTTTTGTAGAGACAGGTCTTGCTATGTTGCCCAGACTGGTCTTGAACTCCTGGACTCAAGTATTTAATGGTCCTCCTCCCTCAGCCTCCCAATGTGCCGGGATTACAGGCATGAGCTACTGCACTCAGCCTTTGAATGCTATTTCTTCAGAAGTACTGTCACGTATCACAGATAACCCTAAGCGACTTGTCAGCAGCTCTGCCGTGACTGATCCTCTAGGCAGGACAATGGCAGGAACAGAGAAGCCAGCACTGACAGTGGGGAGGGAGGCGTACTTCTGCTTCTCACTGCCAGCCTCAGGCATATGAAACCACTGCCTGCTGTCCACACCAGCACCTCATCCCCATCTCCCTGGTTAGGGGTCATGTAACTAAGATGGCATTTCAGAACCTGGGTTAATACATCCAACAAGAATCACTTGGCTCAGTGCAGCTTGGGAAACGGTGGAAGAGCTACCCGTTTGCGCCTAGTTTCTACTTCGGGTGAGGGCTTCTGCTCAGCTGACTTGAGGTTGCCTCAACTTGTCTGGCTTATCCAGCTTGTGCCTTCCAGTCAACTCCCCCATGAAATCTAACTTGTCGGCAGAGCACTTCCAGGCCAGGCATGGGGCTCCCTTTCCAAATCTGGGCATTATTTAAAAAAAAAACAAAAAAAAAAAAAAAAAAAAAAACCTGCCCAGCAGGCTCAGATGCCAGCACTCAGACACCTGAGGGGTCACGGGCAGCTGCATTTCAACTCACACTGCCGTCGAGATGAGGCACGTTTTTCCGGGATCAGTTGTGTGGCTAAGGCAGTTCCCTCTTTACCATTATTCCAGGTGCCTAGAGACTGCCATGTAAACAACGGTGCACACTCAACACCGTCATGCCCCCTGCACTCAACTGAGTGATAAGTATTTCTAAATCTCTTGGAATTAAATCAAAGTTTCTTAAACTTTCTGCGGGCCATGGATCCCTTTTAAAAATCTTTAAAAGCTCTGAATCTCCCCTACAAAAAATGGCCCAATCACCCCTTGTGAAGCCTTCCCACGCACCCCTCCATGACTCTGTGACATGAGGTCTTCCTGATGGAGCGTTTAAAACTAGGTGAGAAACCACTTTGGCTATCTCTTAAAGATTGGCCTTGCCGGGCACGGCAGCTCACGCCTGTAATCCCGACACTTTGGGAGGCCGAGGCAGGCAGATCACTTGAGGCCAGGAGTTAGAGACCAGCCTGGCCAGCACGGCAAAATCCCGTCTATACTAAAAATAACAAAAATCATCCGGGCATGGTAGCACACACCTGTAGTCTCAGCTACTCGGGCCTAAGGCAGGAGAATCACTTGAACTCAGGAGGTAGAGGTTGCAGTGAGCCGAGGTCACGCCACTGCACTCCATCGTGGGTGACAGAGCAAGACTCTGTCTCAAAAAAAAAAAAGAAAAAAGAAAAAAATGATTGGCCTTCAGAAGGAGGTGCCATGTGGCTCTTCAGGGATGAATGGGCTTTAGGAAGGCAGAAGTGAAGACAGGGGCCCTAGCCTTTTTGTGGAAGCGATAATTTCCCATTTACCCAAGGCCTTAGAGCAAGCTTGTCCAATCACCAACCAGCAGCCCACGGGCCTCATGCAGCCCAGGGTGGCTTTGAATGTGGCCCAACACAAATTTGTAAACTTTCTTAAAACATTATTATTATTATTATTATTTTAGCTCATCAGCTATCATTAGTGTTAGTGTATTTTATGTGTGGTCCAAGACAATTCTCTTTCCAATGTGGCGCAGGGAAGTCAAGATTGGCCACCCCTGCCTTAGAGGAAACGTGGCAGGTGATGCAGTCTACCCTTCGGTGTGAGGGCGGAGCACTGGCTTGGCTCCTGTGGAACAGGGAGCACTGCGGCCAGGGGGTGCTTCCAAGATCGCTCTGAGGGCTTTTCTGTCAGCCAAGGGCAATGGGTTGATAAACTCAGGGTCCACAGCAGGAAGAGTTTCGGTGCTTCAAAGAAAACAGTGTTCAGATCTCCGAAGAGGGATCCTAGCGCCCAGAGCTCCCCACGTGAACCCAAGTGAAGACCCAAAGGCCTCCAAGCCTCATCGCCTTATCCTACCATGTTCCTGAACAGCATGGTAGCAGTGCTGGCCTTCGGAATGATGAGGCCAACGCGAGCCAGGAGACTGCTCCTGCGCGGGATTTGGGCCCAGGACTACCTCGGATCTAGGCTTGTCGTCGCTGTGACTGGTAACACTGGGCCGCGGCTAGGAACGGGGCAGGGTGGCTACCACAGCACCTGCTGCTTCCACGGACAAGCCGCCACCTAGAGCGGATGTGCAGCAGCAGCTACAGGCAGACATGGACAGAGAGAACAGCGGGAGTTGAAATTCTCATAATTTTAATGGTCAATAGCTTCTGGTGGGCTCTGGATGGTACAGTTAAACAATAGACTTAAAGACCTCCCCCAAAGCACGTCCGCACCCCCTCAGCAGCGTGTGCCTCCATCAGCGTTCCACTGCCCGATCGGACTTCCACAGCCTCAGACCCCCCCCTCTTGGGTTATGGAAATCCACATCTTAGTGTGATGAGCTGAAAAACCCTGGGTACACCCGTGATCTGTTATTTTTTTAAAAATAACGAATATTAAGCCAAACACCTTCCCAGGCTCTGCTGCCTCACAGAGTGAGAAACGTGACCGTGGCGATCTGAAGACTCTGTTGTCTCTTGTGGGCCAGGTGGTTTTTGCTTCGCTCCCTGTTCTACGGAGATCATACGGCATAGAGTTCGTAAATCTTCTTTACACAGTACGCCAGGGCGGCCAGTGCTATCGTGTTGTGCAGTCTCTTTCTGTGCAGGTCGTCCTTCCGGACCAGCACCACTGGGGTGGAGGAGGTGAGTGTGTGCAGAGGCAGGCGCGACAGTTTATAGGCGTCGTACTCCACTTGGTACTTGCAGCAAGGGTCAAACTGCCAGGAGATCCCATAGAGGGTGCAGCAGGCCAGGCTCAGCACACCAGCGGGCAGGGAGATGTAGTGGGAATAATCTAAGGGCAGCGCCAACGGGGTGAAGAGGCAGGCGGTGCCCGCCAGCACGGCCGTCTTGTGCAGGCAGTTGCCCACGGTGATCCAGCGGGCCGTCTCGTCGCCGATGCGCGTGGGCTCAATCACAATGTACTTGTACTGGGCTTCCAGGGCCTGCTCCAGCTCGTACTCAAACTGGTCTTGGGCATTCTCCCCATTGTAGATCTCGTGCACAATGTAGCAGTCTGTGGCCGACAAGCTCACCCTTTTGACGGAGGGGGCGGGAGAGGGAGAGAGAGAGAGAGGATGATTAGGCTGAGCAGCACTTAACTGTGTTTCGATGCTGGGGGAGGTCTGAGCCTGCACTGCGGAGAGCACATCTCCCTGAGGTCCTTATCTCCTTCAGATCCCAACACAAGACAATCAGTAAAAAGTACTTTTCCTGAAATAGTGAAATAAGCCTGGGCGCAGTGGCTCACACCTGTAATCCTAGCACTTTGGGAGGCCGGGGTG